ACGCACACACGCACACACACACACACACAGATAGACACATATAAATGTGTGATGTACTTATGCATGTATATATAATTAATATTAACGCTAATTATGGGAAATATAAAAGTATATAGTGTTTGGATTTTGTGTAAAATGTTAAAAATATGATTTTTCTATGAAATTCAAAATATGTGATGAGCATTTTTCATTGGTAGATAATTTTTAATATTTTAAAGCATTTAAAAAAAAACTTTTTTTCTGTATATACTAATCATACGTTTACTACATATTTTTTCGAGTTCATTGACAATTCATTGTAAAGAAATAAGAAAATGTCTAAATAATAATAAAGTCTTAGGGTGTAGTATATATATATATATATATATATATATATATATATATATATATATTAAGTAAAAGTTTTAAAAAATAAAGATAAGCATGTGCATAATACACGTATTATCGTGTAATAATATAAAAAAATACAGATAAAGGCTGTAGTAGAAACTATAATGCATACTACAAAATTAGTTAAGAGAGTAAAATAAGCTAATCGGTATTTAATAAATAATTTGAAAGGATAATGTGCTTTGAATAGAGTAATAGTACAGTAAATTTAAGTTTCAGTAGCTTTGTCACTTTATAAATTTGCAATGTCACATCTGCTTTTACAAATTTTTCCCCTAATATGTAAAATAAAAAAAAAATTAATTCAGGTATTACAGAACAGTGTGAATTTTTTGTTTATATTAATTTATACAATATATTCAAGTAGCCATTACAATACTTTTATTTAAATGATTTTTCATTTCAATACTATTCGCTAGTTTGATAATGTTAATCATTTCAAATAAATATAATGCCACTTCGTGCCCGAAGTAGACTTGGAAGAACAAAAATGATTAAATTTTACAAGTAAAGATTTCTAAACTACAGTTTAGACAAATTATGCTTAATTTTAAAATTAAAAAACTAATTGCAAGTCCGATAAGATTTTCTATAAAGATTTGGAGTATTGGTATAAAAAATTTATTTTGTATTGCTTCTAATTCTACTATATCACATTTTACATTTACTCTTTATGTACTTTATATCAAAACTTTTAATTCTCCCATCAATCTAATATAAGGTAATAAATTTTGTTTATTCAATGGTTAAAATGATCTTTCGAATTATTGTACTCTTTCAGATTTTTCAATTTTCTACGACGTCGTTCTTAACTTCATGAAAGATTGTATCAAAATTACCTAGAGAATAGAAATTTTAACTATAAATAAGCTGATTAGCACATTGCAAAAAAAAGAACAAAAACTGTGTAATTGCATTTTCCGATACTTTGAGCTAATTTTCTAGAGTATTTACTATCCGTGCAAATTTTCTTTCTTTTCAGTACAGTCCAATAAATACTCTCACGTACGTAAATTTATATATTTTAATTATTTTCTTTAACATTGCTTACACAATGTACAATTATCATCTATTTATAAATACAATCTGAATAATTTAAGTAATATTGATTTTAACAATACTGTTCTGAATAAATCATTCAAATAATCATATTAAACTCTTCCACTAACATTTATTATATATATATATATATATATATATATATATATATATATATATATATATATGAGTATATGTATAATTTTTGTTTGATAATTTATTTTAATTTTATGTGTAAAAAGTAGAAAAATATAGAATTAAGTTAGAAACCAAAGTTTAATGACTTTGCAATACAGTTATTATAAGTTCATTTTCGCATATTCCAATTAAAAATGAAATTTCAAATCATTTTTTTAATGTAAGTAATTAGTAGAAATGTGTCACTAATTAAATGTTTAGTCATGTAATGTACATATGCGTACAACATCAACATGCATATATCATACCGAAGTTTTAAATATTCCTAAGATTATGTACATAAAAGCATTTTCAATCAAGTAAATTTTATTAAATAGACAAAAAAAAAACATTACATGCACTTTATTGTGTATGTATCAGTTTTGTGTGTAAGATTGCAATATTAACAATTAAATGGTTAATCTCAGTAATGTAATGATTAATCAGAATTTATCGATTTTTTATATTATTATATTTTTTATATTTATTATATTTGTTACTAGATGATGTGTAATATTTTAATTCCTTCGTTCATAGGTAATATTATTATAAATTATTGTCAACAGTCGGCTTGAAATAAATAAACTGTTTTGAACGAAGATGAAGATTTTGTAAATAAAATAAAAAATTATTTTAAAAGACTAAGAAAAAAATGATAATATTTCATCACGCGCTAATGAGAAATGAGTAAAAATTTATCAAAATTTCATAAAAGTCATATTTACACTCCATTAAAAGAACTTTCTTTTTATATTGACAGTGTCCAAAGATAAAATATTAGATTTACAATGTCTAGGATTTACTAAACTAACAATATTAATTCACATCAATTTATTAGTAGCTCATTCGCGTATTAATATGTATTTGTCTTTTTTCTTTTACATAGTTTCGAATATTTTAAATGGCTTTGTAACCACGAAGGAATTTTCGTTGTAATTACGTAAATGTGCAAGATTAAATTCATGACTTTGAAAGAGTGCTGCTCTTTTATTCTCTTTTATTGCTTGAATAAGTTACGGCAATAAAAATAATATATATATATATATATATATATATTGCGTTTCGTGTCATAAGCGATGGATATAAAAATATTAGATTAGAATATCTTTCAAATAAATTTATATAACCAAACGCTCGTATTTCTGCATAAATTAAGCAATATATTTGATGAAACTTTTTATTTATCTACAAACATGCACTGATTGTATAGTAGTAGTAATAATAATAATAATAATAATAATAATAATAAGGATAATAATAAGGATAATAATAATAGTGAAATTCTAAAGAAAATTAAAAATAAAATTTGAACAGATTAATTTTTTATCAACACTATACGTTGTTAGAGAAACATAATTTTAAAGTTAATAATACAAAAATATACAAAGTGACAATAAATTCTACTTCAATAATAACTATTAAATTCAATTTAGCAAAATGTGAAAAAATGTGTACGTATTAAAAGATCGTGACGACCGAAATAATTTTAAGCTCGGGACTCAGAATGCGTAAACTGTGCATTGCCGGAGCTCCGTAATTTTGCTGTTTATAATAATTACTATCAGATGCATAAATAATTCTGTGGATTAAATCCAGTGTCGTGAACATGTAAAATCTATTTTGTTGCCCCGGCCGTCCTCTCGCTTCATTCGAAGATAACCGTGTAGCCAGCGCCGATTCTTTTAAATTAGCAAAAAAAAGAAAAAAAACAAACAAACAAAACAAAAAACCGAACGAACGAACAAGATACAAAACAAAAAAAACGTATTATCGATCCGCCATAATATTCAGTGCATAAGACTCGCAACTACATGGTTTTCCGATCTAGAAGTTCTATTGTCTAATGGCCAAGTTACGTGTGCGCTAGCGCCTTCATATATCACGATGGATTATTTTTACAGATTCTCGCGACATTGCTTTTCCTTTTTCTCACAATGCAAATGAGACTCGTCAGTGAAAAAGGATGTCAATCCTATTTTTTAAGGGGGGGTCTATTGCCTACCGAAGGATTATCGATCTCGAGTGGGCAGCGCATCAGGCCACGATGAATGAAAATGATTGGGCGGGATCGTAAATTAAATGCCACGTACGCGGAGGAAGACGGGGGCAGAGCGAAAATGGTGGTTGGGCGGAACGACCTGCGAGAAAAAGGTGTAAATAACATTGACTAAGTGGACGGAAATTTCCATAGTGTCTCGTGTGCAAGCAAACGTAGGAGCTACTACTATCAGTGGGGATGGAGGAAGTGCTTGCACCGCTCGATAAAGCTTGCCGCCCCCCCCCTTCCTCGCGCCTTTTTCCTTTTAGTTTTCTCTTTCTCCCTCGCTCCCTTTTGACTCTCTTACGTTCTCGCTCGTTCCCCCTTCATGCCCTGTCGGCCACCTAACATCTAAACGCTCAGTCCTCCTCCGCAGCCCTTATCGCCCCCCCCTTCCCCGTCTTCGTAACATCCTCGTCGTTGGCCCTTCACCGTCGCGCCGTGTCTCGTTTCCTTAATTCTCAACTTTCTTCGTTGGCGGCTGCTCGACAACCCGAGCTCGACCATCAACAGCAGCGATAACACGGGATCAACGTCACGCTCACTTCCGCGTAAGCCTTCTCCAGAAAGCCTGGATGAGTAGGTTAATAGCCTCGGGATTGTTCGGTGATGTTGGTGGGGTGTGGTGGGGTGTGGTGGGGTTGGACGGTTGTGGGGGGAGGGAATTGGGAAGGCACTGGTGCTCGGGGGAGCGCTCTTCTTTGCTCCTTGAGATCCCTCCTGAAATAGGGAAGTTAATTGCTCTGAAGCTCGCTCGCTGACCTGGATTCGAATGAGAATCGGCACGAGATTAAAGTGTCGAGGGAAAGTATCACGCGCGGGGTGGCGAACACGCGTGGGCAGGACGTCGGGGGCTCATGCACGTGTATGTACGCGGGGACCACGGCGTTATAGACGGCGGGGATAGAGTAGACAGAATAGATAAAGATATACTCGATAGAAAAATAGGGAGATAGAGAGATAGAGAGATAGAGATAGATAGAGATAGATAGAGATAGATAGAGATAGATAGAGAGAGAGAGATAGATAGAGAGAGTGAAAGAGAGAGAGAGTGAAAGAGAGAGAGTGTGTGTGTGTGTGAGTAAGGGTGGTGGCGGTGGCGGCGGTGGCGGCGGTGACGGCGACGGCGGTGGTGGCGGTGGTGGCGGCGGCGGCGGCGGCGGCGGCAACGACGGTGGTGGCGGCGGCGACGGCGACGGCGGTGGCGGCGGCGGTGACAGTGGCGACGGCGGGGGAGTCGAGAGAGCGGCAACGCGCTCTACGAGGAGGACGTACACGTATATCGATCGGCCTAAATGTAAGCCCGACGGCGAGGAGCGGCGAGGAGCGGCGCTGGCAAGCACACGCGCACGCTAACCTGGTTCTCCGAGTTGAGGAGCTTGAGTTGCTCGTTGATGAGGTTGTACTTATTGCTCTCCTCCTTGCGGAGTGCCCGTTCCTTCTTAAGTTCCGGGCTCCAGAAGGTCTTGATGCTGTGCATGGAGCTGCCGAGCTTCTGGTTCGTCAGCTCGAGCTCCTTCTTGAGGTTGCCGAGCTCGCGCTGCAGGTCGTTGTTCTGGTGCTGGAGCTCGCCTATGTAACCGGTCCCGTCGCGCATCAGGTGCGGATTCGGGCTCTGCCTCTGAGAGCTGGAGCGCAACGGGGGCCCATAGAGCTCGTCCTCGAGATAGCGCGCCGCCCGGCCGAGGGGCTCTCTGATTGGGACGAACTCGCGCTCGTGGTCGAGTAGCCCGACCGAGGCCCGGTCGAGGCTCGCGTACCTCGGCCCTGGCATCCCCGGCCGGGAGGCGCTCCGCGAGCGATGCTGGCCCGCCCCTTGGGACATGCTCCTGCCGCGCTCCTCCAGCAGGAGCACCGGACTCCCAAGCTCGTCGTCCCGGCCCCCGAGACCGTAATACGAGCTCCCGCCGACGCCTCCGAGCCCAAGCCCGAGGGCCTGCTGCTGGCCTCCGTAACCGGTGAGGCCGTAGCCGAGGCCGTGCTCCGGGGAGCTGTTGCCGCTGCGCGTGCCACGGGACTTTCGAGCACCAAGGGGACTGCCACGGCCACTGGCGTAGCCGGACCCGTAGCCGCGCGAAGGGCTGCGGTCGACGGTGGGCAGGTCGCCGAGCCGGCGGCAGCTTCGCGGCGAGCGCGTCCCACCGCCGGGGTAAGACTCCCTCCCGGACATGCTGCTGCTGCTGCTGCCGCCGCGGCTCCAAGCGCACTGGCGCCGCGGGTCGCGGGGACGCGGGATCGATCCGACGGTTGTTACGGCGGTGGCGGCGGCGGCGGCGGCGGCGGCGATGGTGGTGGTGATGAACGGCGAGAGATGCGCCGTAGGTCGAACAGGGGGCGCCAAAGGATAGGGCCGGAGTCAGCGATCGCGAGAAAATCGCCGGGAGATCGATCGAACGCTTGGAACTCGAGCACGCGATTGCTTAGTGATCCCCAGGATTATAGGATTATCGAGCGAAAGATCGACGACGATTTATTGCTTTTAAGGGCGCTTGCACGGCGGCTTAGCAGCACACCTCGGACTTTTGTCCCTTTACCGGCTTATATCCTCTCTTTCTTTCTTTCCATTCAAACTTTCGGAAACTACTTGTTCGAGCTCGGTTAAGCTCGTGTTGCGGCGGCCTAGCAATGAAAAAAATATGTTTCGAGATTCGCTCCGTCACCTCGAACTGTCATTTCACGAATTTCCTTTATTCTTGATGATCGTGAAGCTTCGCCATCAAATATTTGTGTTTGCAATAACCAAATCTTTGGTGAAACTCGTCCGATAATTAAAGATCGAATTACGTTAGCCTCCATTAATAAATCGACCGAGCGCGTTTTAATTTAAACTATAAATAGTAATGCCCACTGATGAGGAAAATCATAGAGCATCGATAATTCTTTCACCCGCCCCCTCGCCACCTAACATAATAAACTACGATAAAAAAAAAAAGTATTTTACAAATAAAATTAAATAAAATTTTGCACTATTGTGCAAATCAATTTAAAATCAAGCGTAAGATTATATTTTTAAATGCTAAATTAATTTAATATTGATAATATTGTGCTTGTTCATTGAATGAATTAATCGTATAAACTGCTTGGCTTGACATAAAGGAAAAGCAGAAATTTAAATAATAATTTAATATACAGCGGATGTATTTAAACTGTAAATAAATTTAAAGGAATTACGTTAAATAAATAGAATGTCATTAAAGAAATTTTTATATTTTAAAAGATGTATTGCATACATTAGTTCAATATTCATAATTGATTCTTAATGCAATTTCTAATGAATTTGTGATATTTATATTTATTACAATAAAAAATTGTTCAAAAATCATTGTTGGCTATGATTTCCTAAATTACTAAATAAATTATGAAAATTATTCATTATAAATTGGTAATGGTAAGAGTAAAATGAGTATTCAATAGCAAGAATTTCTTTTTAATTGCTATATGTTTTTTTTTTTGTTTTTTTTTTTTTTTAATTAAATCCAAAAATACTTTTAAACATATTCAATTTATTTTTCCAAATTTTTCTTTGTCATTTTATCAGACCATATCAATATAATGTTTACAGCAACCAGATTCTAGACTTTTTAATAATTTTCTGATAATAATAATCGTATCTCTATTCTCGAAATAGAATTTTTTTATGTATCCCATGTATGGGAGTATATTTCTTCCCACTTTTATATTCTATTATACTATGTTTATGTATCCATTTTTTTATTTATTTATTTATTTATTTATTTTTTTTTTTTCATAAAAATCAATACTACAATTGATTTGCTCACGCAACGAAATATTTATGTATTTTATTATTTGCTAATATTAGCGATATTTTAATTCAATAATGCTCAGAGGAATGAAGCTATAATAACATAAAATGTATTTTGTAATTAGATTTATGAATTTTGTTCAAGATAATTTCAAAAAGATGAACAATTTCAATTTATTATCCAATTTTTGAAAATAACTTATTCAAGAGATATATTCGTTCAACGGCAATATTTACTAGTATAAAATATTAAATTGACACAATAAATATAAAAATTAAGTTAAATAAATTTAAATAATAATAAATTTTTATAAAGCGAATGTTGTTAAAAATTTATGAAAATTAATTAACATTATTGTTTAGTTAAACTATTTAAAATGCATTCTTATTTATAAACAATAAAATTCTCAAATATAAATGGGAAAATAAATTTTAAAATTATCGTTGGAACTACAAATATACATTTATTATGTTTAGCATGTAGTTATTAATTTTTTTATGACAAATTTTAAGAATTTCATCATTCATTAATTTTATTATGATAATATTCGATATTTGAATACAAATTTTTCCCAGTGTTAGTAACCGAATGTTGTAAATATTTATGTAAAATATACGGAAATATATATTATTTTTCAAACAACTTCTTGAAAAAAAAAGATTAAGATTTTTATATACTTATTATATGCATATACTAAAGTATATATATATATATATATATATTATAATTAATTTTTATACTTTATAAAAACATATTTATATTATAAAATGAAATATTAAAAAAAAATCTCTAACTTATTTTCGTTTAGCTTTGTATAGAATTATTACGAAAAGTATTTATTTCTATTTATTTTACAAAATTATTAAATATTTTGTATTATTAAGATTTTCATTAGTTTAGGACTTTAAATTTAATTAAATCTAACTTTTAATGCAAATATTTGAAAACTACATTTCTAACGATGATGTGTATATTTTGAAAGTATATCTTTACTTGTTTTTAGTTTATACTTTTTGACCTCTAATACTAAAATATATATTTAATTAAATATATTAATAATTCCAAAAAATACTTATTTTAAGAAAACTATGATCAACGGCTATTAAAGTCTTAACAAAATTCAGATTAAATTCACGTATGAGTACAAAATTAGAATTTCAACAAAATTCATTAATGTGAAATAGCAAATTTTTCTACAACAGATTATCCTTTTGCGCTTCTATTATTATTCAATTCCCATGCTTATATTTTTTATTCCACAAAATCGAATTTAGATTTTCACTGTGTTGTTAAATAAATGATCGCTTAGACTTCTTTAAAAATCTTTTTATTTGGAACAGATTTTTAGCGTAAGTGAGAGAGTTTGTATTTCGAAAAAAACGATTAATTCTCGGATATTACGATGAATGAAAATTTTGATAATATAATCCAATATTGTCTTATGTAGTATAAATAATGGGAACTGCAGCAATGAAATCTCTATTTAATCTAATATATCCACTTGTAAATCCATTTAAAGCCATGGACTATCACTATGTATTATACATTTCACGGCTTTATAAATAAATTGTAAACATTTATGTATAAAAGGTACAACTACCTATTATTTACATCAACATCAACATCAGCATCAGCATCAACATCAACATCAACATCAACATCGGGACTACTGATTCAGTATTACTCTTTTATAGTTTGCAACATTAATATCGAATCTTATTTTATTTACGTATTCAACGGCACATTCTCGAGAGATTGATTTATTGAACTTTATATGAACAATTCCGATGAGGTCAGAGAATTTTAGAAGCACTTTTCAAGACGATATTATTCCATAAAATAAGCAAGAGCATTTCATCTCATATTAAATGTATCAATGCCAATATTTCTTCAATTTTTCATTTAATAAAATTCTTTAATAACTACACATGAATTTATAATTGCCGAGAATTTTTAGAAAAATATATTAAATACAAATTATTTGCTTTCAAAACTTGGCATAATCGTTAATTTCCTTTATTTCACCAAGTATCTATATAGAATGAAAATTTTGTCCAAGAACTTAATGAAATAATGCATCATACTTTTTGTATTCCATTCTACAATCGCATAATTTTTAATTATATTTTCAATTCATTGAAAAACTCGAATTATTTGTAAATCGAGTATATTATACATAATGACACAATTGATCGAATCATTGGACAAGAGTTTTCTCTTTTTTTTTTCTTGACTATAGCTTTTGTACAGATATTCCATCAGTTATGAAATGAATAAAAATCTTACTTATGTAAAAAATTTATTAATTTAATGCAACGTAATTTAAATTTAACAAGTATTTTAATATAATTATCTATTGTCGTTGCATAAGTCATTGATTTATCCATATTTTAATATATTTATATTCGAAATTAAAATTTTCTAACTGTATAATAAAGGATACATTGACGGAACGATGATTCGATAAACATTGTGTCGGGTAAACTTATTACTTATATGTATAAGTATTGTATAAATAGATAACGATCGATGATACGTAAAATATCTGCCTCATTAACGATAAAGTTTAATTACCCAACTTTGCACAATGCTTAGTGATTTATCCAATTTAGTTCTATTGAAACTTGATAGTTGGGATTCAAGGAATCTGTCGTTGAGAAAATTCAATAAAATTCATAAAAAAAAAAAATCAATTGATCCATTCAATTTTAAATAAATTGCATCAAATACAATTCAATTTCACTTGGCAGTTTCCTCAATAATTTTATTTGTAACATCTTATTTATAAGTGATGAATGTAAAGTAAATTATCGATTATAAATCTGTCGGTTTTCGAGAAATCCTTAGTGCCGACATATTTCATAACTATCTATATTTTTATGTCTAAATGCCACTCAGCTGGATAATAAATTTATTCCGTCAATATTTTTATTAACAAACTTGTAGAAAGTATTTTACTAATCAATACCAAGCTTAAAGCGTTTACGCCATCTACTTCGACAAGTCGGCCACTTCAATGTGCACGAGCATACAAATTTCTCGTACTTTTGTGCCTCGAAGTGCGCAGGATGATTATTAAGATATGCTTGTGTTTAAATTCACATATTTTTATCGCTCACAACTATGTATGCACGTGTGCA